CTATATGGAAAGTGAATTTGCTCTGTAAATTTCCACCCAAATCACAATAAAAAGGAAAAGAACAAGTAAAGGAATGAAGAAAGTTATATTATGTTAACACTAATTAAAAGAAAGCTGGAGTAGCTGGTGGATTTGAACTGCCAACCAGTGCCTTGAGCACTGTGTCACCAGAACTCCTTCACATGTCTTTTTTGTTACGTGCTGTTGAGTCGTCTCCGACTCATAGCAACCTTATGTACAACAGAATGAAATACTGCCCAATTCTGTGCCAGCCTCACAATCCCTACTATATCTGAGACCACCACTGCAGCCACTATGTCAGTCCCTCTTGCTGAGGGGCTACCCCTATTTCATTGACCCTCTACTTTACCAAGCACGACATCTTTCTTCAGATCATGGTTTCTTCTGATAACATGACCAAGGTAGATGAGAAGAAGTCTGGCCATTCTCACTTCCAAGGAGCACTCTGGCTGCAATCCTCCAGGGCAGATTTGTTAGTTCTTTTCCCAGTCCACAATACTTTCAGCATTCTTCACCCACACCACAACTCAAAAGGATTAACTCTTTTTCAGTCTTCCTTAGTCCAGCTCTCACATGCATATGTGGTGATTGAAAATACCATGGCTTGGTTTAGGCACACCTTAGTCTTCAAGGAGACACCTTTGCTCTTCAGCACTTAAAAGAGATCTTTTGCAACAGATTTGCCCAACACCATACATCTTTTGATGTCTTGGCAGCTGCTTCCATTGCCATTGATTGTAGAACCAGCAATATGAAGTCTTGGACAACTTTAATCTTTTCTCCCTATCTTTATATGTCTTTTTGTTGTTGTTGTTAGGTGCTGTCGAGTCATTTCTGACTCATAGTGACCCCATGCACAGCAGAATGAAACACCGCCCAATCCCGCGCCAGCTCCATGACTCTTGCTATACTTGAGCCCATCATCGCAGCCACCATGTCAATCCATTTTGGCGAAGGCTGTCCCCTCCTTCGTTGACCCTCCACCTTACCACCCATGACATCCTTCTCCAGGGAATGGTCCCCTCTGACATGACCAAAGTAGGTGAGACAAAGTCTGGCCATCCTAGCTTCCAAGGAGAATCCCAGCTGCACTTCCTCCAGGACCGATCTGTTAGTTCTTTTGGCA